TAGCCTCATGTTAGCATGGAGCTAACATGTTAGCCTCATGTTAGCATGGCAGTCCTCCTGCCTCAGCCTCCCAGGTACTGGGATCATACGGTATAAGCCACACGCCCAGTTTAATTCCTAGTACTTTTAGACACCACCATCACCACCAAAAAACAAAAGAAAGCAACCACAGTAAAAACTGTCATTTTCTCCATTTGCTGGACCCGAAGCAAAAAGCCCACTGTTCATGTGGACATGTATGTACTGCTCTTCCCTCTCAGTCATCACCCCATCAGAAATGTTGGCATACAAGAGATCTCCTCCAGCAATAAAGCAAGTCTCAACTCTGTGCTGGGAAGCCATGTGAAGACAGCTTTAAAGCTAGCCAATTGTTCAAGGTAAACAATGAGGAATACATATTTTTTTTTTCTTTCCTTGAGGCCTTAGGGCCAACAGACAACCTTAATTAGAAGATAATACTTGTTTGTTTGTAGAAATTCAACATGGAAGGGTCTATGAAAACATTGATTTCTGATGTCACCCCATGTTTTCCACATTCCATACGACAAAATTTCCTTATCCCACTATATCGCCAGGAAAAGAATAAAGCGAGATGGCAGAGAAATGGTTGGAAGCTTGAAATTAATTTTTTTGGTTGGTCCACTCTTCATCATTGGGAAGGACTTTGATATATCCATGAAGAATTTGAGAGGTCATTCTGGGAATTCTGTATAACACACCCAGGCGAGACAGCACGCACTGAGTAGTGGTTGGTAATATTGACATGTGAAAGGATTGACATGTCAAAGGGGCACAAGCTTTTCCCATGGAGTTAGAAAGGCTCAGATACTAAAAGCTGGAAAAAGGAATTCGATGCCAGCCAGATTGGGACAAGTGAAGAGGGATGGAGGAGGAGTAAAGAGATGGAGGGGTTGGGAGAGAGGGAGAAAGGGAGAGTGTGAAAGGGTGTGAGACATGAGCCTTTGGAAGACCAGTGTTTGTCTTTTTTGGCCCGGTGATCTGCTCCACTGGTAGCTCACCCCCACTCACGGGGAGGCAC